TAAGCGTCCGACTTTGGCTCAGGTCATGATCTCACGGTTCGTGGATTCAAGCCCCATGTCGGGCTCTGTACTGACAGCTAGCTCAGAGCCTGGAGCCTGCTTCGGATTCTGTGTCTTCCTCTCTCTCTGACCCTCCCCTGCTCACGCTGCCTCTCTCTCTCTCTCTCAGAAATAAGTAAAACATTAAAAAAAAAATTAAAAAAAAGAAACACCCGGGAGCCTGGGAACTTCAGTGTCAGGAGACCCCAAGTCTCAACAACAGGTGCTTGGGGGTCTTTGACACTGGCGTAATTCCAAGCCCTAACTCATACAAGTGTGCATATTCCCCCTGACAATCAAGCTGGAGAACCTAGACTTCCAGGACAGGACAGGTCTGGACAAACTGATGAAAGTATCCTCCACTAAAAGACACCTGGAGTCATGGTCACTGATAAGCCCAAACCCCATCAGGCAGCCAGTCCAAACGGGAACTGACTCTTGGCACTATAAAGCAGCCATCTCAGGTCGGGGGGCTCCCTTCACCCCTATGCTGTTTACATAGGTTTTTAAAGTAGGTTATGATTACATAGTGATTCATTAACACGCAATATTACACTGAATAATTTATACACTTAAAAGTAAATCATATTGGTCAATATTTGCAGAATGAGTTGAGGGAACTAAAAGATCAAGTAATTTGCTCGCATCTTTTCTCTCTCAAAATAAATAAACTTTTAAAAAAAGAATCTCTCTCCCTCTCTCTCTCTGCTCCTCCCCTGCTTGCACTTTCTCCCCTCTCAAAATAAATAAACTTAAAAAAAGATCAAGTAATTCAATTATTGTTAAATAATAATTATTAAGTAAGTGATTTTGATAAATAGTGTTTCATTAAATATTGTTGCTATTTTGTTAATATTGTTGAATAATTCTTGTTAAGCAAGTTGTTCGGGATTCATGACCTGTGTTTCTGACAGAAGCTAAATTCCTTATTAAAGCATCTCTATCTGCATTTTTCATTGAACATAGTGTCAGGAAAAGTAGTTCAGCTCTGGGCATGGTAATGAGGTTCAATAAACAGAATAGATCTTATACTAGACAGAGAACTAAAAATTATTAAAATAACAGAGACACAAGAAATGCTTCATTAACACATGTCCTAAAATATCAGATAATTTACATATAGTTAGATGTTTTGAAGCACAAAAAGAAACCTCTTTTGTAATAAACACAAAGTATTGACATTTCCTATTTGCCCTAGGATGAGAATGTGTAGATCCAAATCTCTCCACACATCACTTGAAAAGCACCAAGGGAAAATGTAGATGAACAAGGAGAATAAATAACCCATGTCTTTCTTTAGCAGAACTGATTGAGACTCTTTACAGCCTGCAAAGTAGTTGTAAGTAGAGAGATCACCACAAATCCAAGCAGAACTAATCCTGGAAGGTCATGGCACAAGGCTGTTTGGAGAAATGATTGAGTCTAATGAGACTATGGGGAAGAGAAGAGGGGAGCTGAGGGCCTGACTTTGTTAGAATATAAATGAAATCATCTGAGGAAAGGGAAAGTCTTACCGGATATGTGAAACTTCTGGTTTGGACCTACTAGACAGGACGGCTACCCCCAGAGAAAGATCTTCAAAAACATGAGGGACAGGAAAGACAGTCTTTGAAAGCCATTGTTTCTGAAAGAGAAGAGAGTATGGGCCTCTCAGCTGCTAATCAACCCTTCCTTCCCTCCTTGTTCGGTGATAATATAGCTGGACCCACATGTATTTTTCCTTTGCTTACCGGCACCATGTTAAGCTTTGTCAGTAGAAGGATTCCTGAAGGAGGAAGGAATTATTTTCTTCCTGGGTGCTTCTTTCTTCAGGCTTCTACAAGGAGAATGGTTTTTCTGCAGGGGTTGCAGGCAGTTGTATAGATCATCCCTCCATCAGCAAACTTCCATGGTACCCCCTTGGGTGACTTTGCAGTGGAGTGTCACTGGGAAGGCTCCTCCTGTGCGTGATTTCTCTTGGTTGTCCAGGGGCTTCCCAGTGGGTGCTGTTGACTTGGTACCCATAGCCCCCTTCTTTTGTACAAGCTGTGACCTCATTCTGCTGACCTAGTGGCAAGCCACTGGAAGTCACATTTGATAAGAATTGAAACAAACTTTAAGAGGGACACCAGCGGCTGCATTCACTGGAGTGACAGATGCTACAGATTTAGTACAGACAAGGCATCAGAGTCCCTAAACAAGTATACAAACACGAACTGCAACACCAAATCCTGATGGGATCAGAATCCATGTGTCTACAAGTTATAAGAAATTTCCAGTTTTCTAAAATGACATCGAAACCTGCAAAGAAGTAGAAAAGTGTGACCTATAGAAAGAAAAGTATTTGATAGAAAGCATCACTAAAAGGGTGTAGATATTGGGCTAAGGGGGAAAAAAATCCCAGCTACCAGAAATATGCTCCAAGAACTAGAAACACATTTAAAGAATTAAAGGAACATCTATGACAATGACTCATCCAGTAAAGAATGTTAATAAAGGGAGAAACAATATTAAAATATTAAATGAAAACTCTATGCTTGCCTAGGTGAGTCTCAAATTTAAGTTAAATGAGATCATGTATCTTTCACTAAAAGCATTCTACTTTGTGGGAATAAGATCTTCAGACCAGCAGAGCATTGGGCTACAGGTTCAGGAAGCAAAATTTTTGCTAGTAGATTACTAGAGGTAATGTGAGTGGTATCATTCTCATTTCTACCCTTTGATCCCTGGATCTGTGAATCATGACCAAGGGAGAGTCAATGTTTTGATGTGATAGTTATGTTTTCATGGTGCTCTTGATCTTGTTTTCATGGATACTGAAAAATAATGTATATGTAAAAAGAAAAAAGGGAAGATGTGTTTATAAAGGGTTTTTTTTAACCCTCATTATTAACTTGAATTGGAAAATCCAATAGGAACTAATGAATCTTAAATTTCATTTCCTTTTCAAATTTCCGTCAACCAAAGGACCCTGGAAGTAAAGACACTTTAAGAGTATTGAACATTCCTATCTAGCACGAGTAATATGATTTGGGTTCTAATCACTGTTCTTCAAAAAGAACAATGAGAGCTTCTTAGAAAGGTGTATGACTATGGGTATGGGGCAGGGGAAGTATACAGCAAGCCTAGAATGTCATTTTGTGCTAAAAAGAAGACAAATACTCAGAGATGAGAGGGGTTATAACCAAGCAATCAGGAGCTAGTTGTACAGCACTCGTTAGCCAAATTTGGGATAAATTCAAAGAATAGTGGTTATAACTGTGCCAAATTGAATAAATAAAAGTTCACAAATCCAGGCTGATACCTTGTTTAAAAAAAGTTTTTAAATGTTTATTTATTTTTGAGAGAGACATAGAGTGCGGGTGGGGGAGGGATAGAGAGAGAGGGAGAGACAGAATCAGAAGCAGGCTCCAGGTTCTGAGCTCTCAGCACAGAGGCTAACGTGGGGCTCAAACTCATGAACCATGAAATCATGACCTGAGCCAAAATCGGACACTTAGCTGACTGAGCCACCCAGGCACCCCCCCAAAATTTTTTAAAGTGACCACAGAAGCTCACTATTCCATTAAGTCCTTATTCCAAAAGCTGGAAATAAAGGGCAAAAATAAAGATTAACCAAATCATTTTAGGTGAAAGTTTAATTTAAACAGAGTTGATAAACTGACACTCATCTTCACACAAGAATGACAGTAAGTGCAAAAAAAATGATACAATTGATCTTAAAAATCTCTATTTTGCAGCACACAATGAAATAATTGATTATATACAAGTATCAGAAATAGATCCACCAACAGGTGAAAGATTTTGGAGAATAGTATACACACCAGTGTTAACATTAATAGCAAAGATAACTTGCCAATTGTTAACAGTGTTCCTTCAGATATGAGAAAACTGGCTGTCCAGTGATTCATCTTTAGACAAATTGAGTCCATTGCTGACAGCCAGATTCCTCATTCTAAGTAAGAATGCCACTTGATTTGATGCAATGCAAAGTTATAAGCTATCACCTTAAAATATTTTTATCTTAATTGTATATATCCTTATTTTCAACTTAAAGTTGTATTTTTGTAGAAATTTAAAATGTTCATAGTCAACTAAATTTAACTAATTATTATTTGAAATAAACATAAAAATCATAGTTTGGACTCTTATTGTTGAATGTTTCCAAAGACCTCTATGACAGCAAAATTATGAAAATGTTTTCAGATCTGAAGAGCATCACTGAAGAGGTCTTTATAGTTCTCACTGTGTATTTTCTTACTTTTTATACGTATTTATTTTAAAATAACATATCTTATGGTTCAAAGGTAATATTAAAGATAGAAAAATTAGAGAATAAATCCTCTAAGTTGGAGAATTTAGAGATGATCTAAATTTAATTAAAGTTATTATAAATATTCTGTTGTACTTCCTGCCAACCTTTGTTCTATAAACATTTATTCAGTGTTCAAAGCATTGTGTGTGTGTGTGTGTGTGTGTTTGTGTGTGTGTGTGTGTGTGTGTGTCTATACTTGTTACTGGACTTTTAAAATCTCTTTTAATGTCATGTTATAATAGCTATGTACCTAATGAGATTTAAATGCCTCTTTATGATTTGTTTGAATTATTATGCTTGCTAGAGAGATATCTTGTAGGAGATTATTATGTATTTCATAAATTTTGGCATATATACCCATTGATAGAATAGCAAAAGTAAATGATAACTAATTACATCTTATTACTAACATAGATATGGCATAGGTTTCTATATGTTTGTGAAGTAATATTATTTTGAAGATGAGTGCAAGCTTCTCCCCCCATCCCCCCAATTTCCCCTGACATGGAGAGCCTCAGGCATTCTCAGGAGTTACGGAGAAATCTTGGAGAAAGTTAGCAGAAAGATGGATAGAAGCAGGCACTGAAGTGATCTCATCTAATTTCTTGCCATGGATATTTCATAAATAGGACACAGCATTTGGTTTACCAATTTTAATGCAGTGCTTTTAAGAAATGATTCATTTGAGTCTCAGATTATATCATCCACATAATATTTAACACAAATTCTGATTTATGAAAATTGGTTAAGCAATAGTTGAAACAATAACTGGAAGAACTGGATTCATAATGAAAAATTTGGAATCAATGTATATATTTTAATTTTAGGACTGTATTTTAACCACTGTTTTTTATACAAGTAGGATACACCAGTTTCCCTTCCTGACAGGTTATTCGAAATGTACGATCTGGTGTCTTTTTATAATATCCAGTTTTACATTCAAATTCAATAGTATCTCCTGTTTTAGAATAAATTTTTTGTGTGTGACTCCATCGTAACTGTATGTTATGTTTATCCATGGTTTCTTCTAATATCACACATGCGTCTGAAAGTATAAAAAATGAACATAAAACATTAAGTAGCATACAAATATTTTCCAAAGAATTTCAGACTTTTAAGTAGAATATTCTACACTGGTCAAGGGCTTCACTCTCAAACCTTTCCAAACCAACTCACTGAAAATCCATCATATAGATTTAAATCATTTTAAACAATTCAGGATATAAAAATGAGGGACTATGTTTAATGTGTAATAATTAAATATTATAATCAAAGATACAAATGTCAGTTATCATGGAAAGAGCTTTTATTAAAGAATCTGTTGCTGTTATGGCTTGAAGAAGCATGTTTCCAATTTCATTTCCTCACATGTTAATATTTGGTAGTCTGTCATTCAACAGAATGGTTGTTTGTTAATCCGTGAAAATTCTACAAATACAAATTCTGCAAATACGTCATATTCATTACACAGATTTTCCCAAGATCTATGAGAATGTTAAGATATTTACCTAAGCACTTTGGTGGCTCTGACCACTCTCCATGACTGCATGTTACACGCCTGTTTCCCTGAAGTTCATAGAAGGACTGACATTTGTACTCCACTGATAATCCTGGAGCGTACTCGGCTAATGGGAATGAGGTAATGTCTCCATTGGCAATAGGTGGAGGGGGCCCACACTTTCTTTTAGGGTCTAAAAAAAAACATAATTTGATTTATTGAAAAACCAAAGGAAATTACAGGTTAAAATAAAGCGATAAAAATATAGCTCAGTACTTATTATTGAGACCTGTGATTTCTGCTGACATAAATGATTCATTAAAGACATTTTAATCACTTTAAATGAGAGTTACACTTTTAAACCCTTCCTTTCAGCCCACATGAAAGCACACATAAAATATTAACAAATATGTCTGCTTTGCATTATTTCAGTATTAAAAAATGCTTTCCTTAGAGAATGTATGCTGAACAGCTGGAGAGCTTAAAGAAATACCTTTTTTTTCATATACAACATATTGTAATGTCTAGTGGATCTTTAGTCATTTTTATTGATTTTTCATTTATTTTTAAAATTTATATCCAAGTTAAATAGCATATAGTGCAACAATGATTTCAGGAGTAGATTCCTTAATGCCCCTTACCCATTTAGTCCCCCCCACTAACAACCCCTCCAGTAACCCTCTGTTTGTTCTCTATATTTAAGAGTCTCATGGGGTGCCTGGGTGGCTCAGTCGGTTGAGCGTCCGACTTCGGCTCAGGTCATGGTCTCAGGGTTTGTGGGTTCGAGCCCCGCATCGGGCTCTGTGCTAACAGCTAGCTCAGAGCCTGGAGCCTGCTTTGGATTCTGTGTCTCCCTCTCTCTCTGACCCTCCCCTGCTCATGCTGTCTCTATCTCTCTCTCAAAAATAAAAAAATAAAATATTTTTTAAAAAAAGAGAGTCTCTTTTGTTTTGTCCCCCTCCCTGTTTTTATATTGTTTTCGCTTCCCCTCCCTTATGTTCATCTGTTTTGTATCTTAAAGTCCTCATATAAGTGAAGGCATATGATATTTGTCTTTCTCTGACAGATAGCACTTAGCATAATACCCTCTAGTTCCATCCACATAGTTGATAAAGAAGATGTGGTATATATATACAATGGAGTATTACTCAGCAATCAAAAAGATTTTTTCATTTTTATTACAAAATAAATATCTATTCCTTTGATAACGTTCAAAGAATTACAAATTTGTATAATGTGGGAGGGAACTGCTGGCTTCCTAATCTGGACAAGATGAGGGAAAAACATTTCTGTGTATTCCTTTTGCGAAGTATGACTAAAAATCCTGAACATATTGTAAAAAGCAACATAAGACATATATAAGGCCTAGCAAGCAAGACAGAGACATTTCTGACAATACCTGAATTACTCCAGAGAAACACCATAGAAGAAACCTAAAACCACCCCTTTCTCCATCTTGCTCAACAAAGGCCAAGTAAGGAGCCTAGACTTCTACCTACACTCCTAGGGAATAAGATACTCTGCCCCTTTCCCATGGTGTTAGTAGAGGTCAAGTGGGAAGCCTGAACTTGTACCTTGAATGATGGTAGAGAGGACTTAATAAACAAAATATTTCAATAAAATACAGAGTTTTAAAACATAATACTCTAAATGTCCAGAATACAATCGAAAATCATTCATCAAAACAAGGACCAGGAAAATCTCAAAAGAGAAAAGAAAATAAACAGAAGACCACACTGAGATGACACAAATATTGGAATTATTAGAACATGGCTTTTAAAAATTCAAGAAAGTGGAACTCCTGGGTGGCTCAGTCAGTTAGGCATGTGACATCAACTCAGGTCATGATCTCACAGTTCTTGTGAGTTTGAGCCCCACATCCAGCTCTGTGCTGACAGCTCTAAGCCTAGAGCCTGCTTTGGATCTTGTATATGTCTCTCTTCTCCTTTCCCACTTGCATTCTCTCTCTCTCTCTCTCTCTCTCTCTCTCTCTCTCTCTCTCCCCCTCAAAAATAAATAATAAACAATTTTAAGAAAATAAAGAGTAAACTCACTGGATGGCCTCAGTAATAGATTACAGATGCCAGAAGGATAAATAAACTTGAATATAGAGCAATACAAATTATTCACTTTGGAAACAGACTGAAAAGAAGCCAACAAAAAAAAAAAAATAGAACTTCAGGGACCTACAGGAAGATAGCAAAGAGTAGATACTGAGGAAAAGAAAGAGGAAGGGTTTGGAGATGAAAAAAAATATTTCAAACAATAATGGCTGAAAATTTCCCAAATTGGTCATAAGACATAAACGTATATACCAAAAAAGTTGAGAAATCTCCAAACACATTAAACCCAAAGAAATTCATGCCAATATACATCATAATCAAACTGCTGAAAACAATTGAGGAAAGGAAAAAATACCAAAAGAAGCTAAATAGAAATTATGCAAACCTTTGGGAGAGAAAGGACATAGATATCAGTGGGGTGTTCATCTGTGACCACGGAGCCAGGAATAACTGTCAACCCCAAATTCTATTTCCAATGATACTATTCTAAAGGATTTAAGGGAGAAATGAATACATTCTGAGATAAAGGAAAACTGAGAGAATTTGCCTTCAGCAGACTTGTCCTTAAAGAATTTCTAAAGGAATTCTTTAAATAGAAAAGAAAAGATAACAGAAGAATTAAGACTTTGGGAAGGAAGAAAAAACAATGGAATTAATAAAAATGGGGGAAATAGAACAGACTTTTTCCTAGTTAGTTGGTTAAACTATGTTTGATGTTTGTATAAAATTACATCATTTGATACGATTTGATATTTGAGGAAAACCATATCACATGATAATGCATGTATAGGAAATACTTAAGAACTTTAATGTGGGGAGAGTAACTGGCCCTACGTGGAAGCCAGGTTTCCACATTTCACCTGATGTAGTAAAATGTCAATACCAGGGGGAATGATATGCTATATATGTTCATCTTAATACCTACAGCAACACTCATAAAACTATACAAAGAGATATGCTCAAAAACAATATCTAGATATCAAAATGAAATGAATTTAAAATGTTCTAGGGGCACCTGGGTGGCTCAGTAGGTTAAGTGGCCGACTTCAGCTCAGGTCATGATCTCACAGTTTGTGGGTTCGAGCCCCACATCAGACTTTGTGCTGACAGCTCAGAGCCTGGAGCCTGCTTCCAATTCTGTGTGTGTCTCTCTCTGTGTGTGTCTCTGTGTGTGTCCCTCCCCCACTCCTGCTTTGTCTCTTTCTCTCTCTCTTTCTCTCTCTCTCAAGATTAAATATTTTTAAAAAATTTTTTAAATAAATAAAATAAAATGTTCCAAAAATCCACAGGGAAGGCAAGAAAACAGGAATTAGAAACACAGGAAACACACACAAAACAAAACAATAAAATGGCTTACATGGTGCCTAATCTATCCATAATGACTTTAAGTGTAAATGGTTTAAATACTTCAGTTAAAAGACTGAAAATGGCAAAGTGGACAAATAAACAAGATTCAACTGTATGGCATGTAAAAGAAACTCACTTCAAACGTAGAAATATAGGTGGGCTCCAAGTAAAAGGCTGGAAAATATATGTGCCAGGCAAAAGTTGATTTGAAAAACTACAAGTGGCTAATATAAGATCTCTTTTGTTGGCTCCCTTTATTTCCTGAACTCTAAATATTAGCGTGTCCTATCACCAAGTTCTCCGACTTCTTTTTTGGTATACAGTAATTACCTGGACAAACTCAGCTAGTTATCTATCTTGAAATATAATCCACATGTTGAAGGAGCCTAAATTTATAGCACATTCTACGATCACACACCAGCTGCCTATTTTAGGTCTCAAAGTGGAATTTCTTGGGCTGTCAAATGTACTTAAAGTATCTTCAATACATTTACTCCCCAGGAAATAACTGTCTTAATGCTTATGATAGGGGAATTTTCCATGATTCTAACTGTTCTTTTAATCTGGTCAAACCTTTTATGAAACAAATATACTATATTATTTAGTTCAGTCTGAAAAAAATTGGATTTGAAATACCATCATTTTATTTGTATATTTAAAATATTCTATAAGAACTACTTCATTACATATTTATAGCAACATATTTTATCTTTAATATGTTCTTGAAAATTTGGAGATGAAATTATAAATAATAAAATTTGGAATGAAATAATCTTCCTTTGCACCTGAGGTAGTTCTGTCCAGGTTCCATTTAAATATACTACTTCTATTTCATCAAAGAATTCTAAAGGTTTGATGTATTCATAAGGTACTGTCTTATTAGATAGATACCTAAGTATCTTATTTTGTATAATAGTATTTTCTATTATGGGTGGATTCACACCAGAAACATCTGAATAGAAAATAAATATATCTCCAATGTAATTATAATGTGAGTAGCAAATCAACATATGGGATCTCAAATATATTTCAAGCAGGATTGAAAATCAATAGTTGTGGTACATGGGTCGGTTAAGCATCCGACTTCGGCTCAGGTCATGATCACATGGTTCACGGGTTTGAGCCCCGCATTGGGCTCTGTGCTGACAGCTAGCTCAGAGCCTGGAGCCTGTTTCAGATTCTGTATCTGCCTCTCTCTCTGACCCTCCCCTGTTCACGTTGTGTCTCTCTCTCTCTCTTTCAGAAATAAATTTTTAAAAAATTAAAGAAAATCAATAGTTGAACTGTCACTAAAAAAACATTTCTACTTATAATAAATTTACATGTAAGACTGAGGAAAATGAGATAAAACAATATTTTTTATAAGATTTAAGCTTCTAGACCTTACATTTCTCTCCCATCCATCACTAGAAGGTTGATAGATTTTTTTTTAATGTTTTATTTATTTCTAGGAGAGAGAGAGACAGCGTGGGCAGGGGAGGGTCAGAGAGAGAGGGAGACACAGACTCTGAAACGGGCTCCAGGCTCTGAGCTGGCAGTCAGCACAGAGCCTGATGCGGGGCTTGAACCCGCGAACCGCGAGATCATGACCTAAGCGAAAGTCCGACGCCCAACCGACTAAGCCACCCAGGCGCCCCAATAGACTTTTTGTAGAGGCCATTATAGATGAGAGTTTTCCTGGATATTTCCCTTTGAGTTTAGTAAAATAAATATTATATATAAATTAGATAAACTTTAAATGAATTTATAAACCACAAGAAAATTATTTTAAAAAGAGATTATT